GTCTTCGAGAGGAGGCCGGTCTCGGTGTATTTACGGAAGATAGCTGTAAGGTCTAGGATCCGTCGAGTTTCTTCCTCGTCTTCTTCTAGGTTAGCTGCTTGTAGTAGGTAGTCGAGGGCTCCGCTTAGGGCTTCTTTTGCTATAGTAAAGCCTGGTCGGAATCGGGTTCGGCGAGTATCGGTAGGGCGTTGAGTATACTAGATTGGAGAGTTGCCTACTACGTCTATATTCCTCTTACGCCTTTCTATGGGTTGCGGGTTGGCGTTTAGGGCGTTTGTAGACTCTCTCGTAGGTCTAGGGGTTTGGGTTGGGGTTATCGGTTTGTTTTCTATATCGATATCTTCGTCGCCTGAATCGGGGATAGGCGAAGATAGTAGGATCCTCCTACGCGTAGGCTCCGAGGAATTCGGTTCTTCCTAGGGGTTTTCTAGGGTGTTATCCCCTATCTCGGGCCGGGTTCTCCTGGTGGTTCGTACGTTGGAGAAAATCGAAAATCTAGTAAGAAGTCTAGGGAGAGTTTTTGCCTAGGGTTAGCGCTATAGCTAAGGCCTACGGCCTAGTGCGAACTGATTTAGGGTATTTTTAGGCTATGCTGATTCGATTAGTAGTGCTTTCGAGGCGTAGGGAGCGCTTATAGTGGCGTTTCCTTAGGTGTAAAAAAGATTAATTGTGAGGGACTGTACCTAACTATAGCTAGATAGTAATTCTACCCTTCGCTCTAGTCCGCCTTGAGGATAATTGTTCGGAGCTAAAGTACGTACGAACTTAGGTATTATTTAATAGGTGCTGCTGTAATAGTACTTATCTTTATAATAAACCTACTTGTTAGTGAATATCTAGCGGGTTTGAGAGTGCCTTAATGCGTGTGCTTATTCCTCGCCTTAGCTTTATGGCGAATAAATAGAGTATACCGCTAGCTGAAAGTTGCGATAGAGCCTATAGATACTTTACTAAGCTCGTTTCACCATAAATCCCCTAAGCTAAATTTAACTATACTAAGACAAGGTTACGAATAATTATCCGAATTCTCTACCGCATCTAGTATATAGATCTTAGTATAGCTACCTAGGATAACGAGAAGGTCCCGAGGAACTTCGGATATCCTCGATAGGCTTTCTTAGTAGTATACCTATCTCCTAAGCTATATCTTCTCCGTGTTGTACTATACTTAATCTTAGTTTTTACGTCTTTTCTATACAGCACTTATTTAACAATCATCTTTTTTTAACTATATAAATCGCATAAGCCTTATCATTTATCACTATACCTACCTGCACTATTTTCTTGCAACTACATGTAGAACCTTCTATATAAGCGTCCTGTTAGTAGGATTAAAGACGCGAGTTCTGTTCAAGTGGAAAATGTCTTCCCTAATCGGTGAATATCTGAATGGAAAATCCTTCAACGTCTGTATTTCAAAATAAGTTTTTTGGTCGAGCTGCGTTTATCATCGCAGCGCGCTTGAGGGAGGTTTTAAGGACATGCAGTTGTTTTCTTTCGGTAGCGGGGTCATAGGGTCTCCGCGTCTCCGCCCCGCCCCGCCGCCCCGCCCACTTGACTCATGTTTTTTCTAGAACTGATTCATGTTCTTCTTGGCACGAAGAATACCAAATTTCCAAAAGCCTCGGGTGCTTCGCTTTTTACAAGACGCTCTATCAGCACAAACAAATTGTGTTAATTAAATTTTTAGGCTCTTGTTTAAAATCACATTTTAATTTATAACCACAGCGGGTTTTGGCTGGTTAACGTTTGTTGCGTTTAGTGCATCCGCCCTCAAGACCTCCGCACTTCGCTTTGCACGGCTCGTTGCGACCGCGACCGCGACCGTAACCGTCCCGCCACCGCCGCACTGCTTCGACCACGCTCAGTACATCTACATCGCCGACCGTCCCAACTCTCCGCCGCCTATCGTCTCGTTCTGTTCATCTGACTGGGCCCATCTCTTATGATGTAGCAGGGTATTCGTATTACCAGTGGTTCCGCCCTGCTGCTCTCTCGCCCTTCGTGGGCGACCTTTCTCGCCCTACTTGTCTATCACAGGCAACGTCTGGATAGCTCGGACCGGGGATTTCTCTAGGAAAGGCGTACAACCCTACATGAACGGAGATGATGGATGGGAGGCATGGCGCGGCGACCGCACAAGCCGTAAGTGTACAAAGGTCTTCTGCGGAACGCTAGCCATTGGCCTGATTTTGAGTGTCAAGAATCCCGTCGTAAAACTATTACCTATGCATATCTTCTTTATCATTGTTTTTACTCCTTAACAGGTCCGACCGCGACCGAGTTTATCTACCAATCTATCCGTCCTCTATCCTCCGTTTCCTTTAGTAATACCTACAATATCCTCATTTTACCTATTAACTGACGCTGGTACGATGCACACGTACAAATAAGCGGTCGATAGATATAGAAAGGAAAACACGGTGTCTTCTCCGGCGACCGCATTAGTACTCCTATCTAAGAAATGCCAGCAGCAGCACACGACTTAGGATAATAAAATATGCTTATAAGACTCTAAGGAAGCGGTAATCCTAAGCCTTACATATATCCTATCCCGCTTTTATTATACAAACACTAATTAAATAAAATTATAAAATTATAAATATATTTTAAGTTATAATTTATAGTATATAATCTAAGACTTTAGAAATAACTAATATATTTTTTATTATAAAAAGTAATTGTATTCGAAATATCTTTAGAAGAAAGATATATATATCTTATGAAATGTTATTTTAAAATATACCATTTCTCTAAGATATACTATAACTCTTAAAGTAAAAATACTTAAATATATTTTATATTATACTATTTTCTCTGAAATAGATATAGCTTTAAAAAAAAATATTTTAAGAATAAAGTTTTTAGGAATATAATTTCTAAAGAAGCTATTTTCTAGGAGTTTTTTTTAAGAATAAACTTTTTTAAGAGTATATTTCTTATAAGAATATACTCTTTAGGACTATATTTTTCTAAATATATATATATATTTATTTATTTATCTTTACTTTTAATATTTATTAGCTATTTACTAGAAAATAGATTTTTTTTACGTATTTTCTAAGATATAAATATTAGTTCTTTAATTACTATATATTTATATATCTTAGAAATTCTTCTTATTTAAAAATATTTATAGTTTTAAAAATATATCTCGTTATTCTAAGAAGTTTATCTCGCTTTATTAAAGACATACTCTATATTCTTAATTATATTTCTTAAAACGGCTATTTACTAAGATGTAAATTTTTTTTTATAAAATTTAAAAGATTTATATAGTATTTCTAATATATATATATATATATATCTTAGAGTTTTACGCTATATATATAGTATTTAACTATTAAAATTATAGATCTTAGAATTATATTTAACGGCTATTTACTAAGATATATATTTTTTTCCGCGAAATTTCTAAGATATATATATTTGTATATCTTAGAGTTTTACGCTATATATATAATATTTTACTACTAAAAATATGTATCTTAGAAAACAAAAATTGAAAAATATATATATCTTAGAAATTTAGCGAAAAAAGTATATATCCTAGAAGTATATGTAAGAAATATATATATCTTAGAAATTAGTTCG